CCATCAGCAGCTCAGCGTGATTAGTGTTGATTGGTTTATAACTAATCTATTATTTATAACGTTTGGTACAGTATTTCAATTATAATCTTTGTTAAACAATATGAGCGGCATGTCAACTAGAAGATAATATGAACGGTCTTTTACGTGCAAATATCGTCACAGTATTTAAACGGAGTTTACTTTTAATAATAATGTTTACAACTGACTATATATCAACGATCACATGTTCAAATGCAGTACTATGGCATTGCTTATATCTCCATTAGCAGCCCCTTAGCAAGTGGTGGAAATTCCTTGTTCCTGCGACGGGGTCAGTCTGTCCATACGATGACCACTGCTGGCTGCCCACGAAGTGGTGCACGTTTACCGGGATTGAAGCTCCAAACTTTCTGCCCACGGCACCGCTGCGCTGGATGTGTTTTTGTCAATTGCAGTCGAGAGCCAAGATGTTAATTTATCATTCATTATTCTAACAGTCTAAGTTTTATTTCGATTTAAAGCTTTCGTGACTGCAGGGATTCATCTTCTTGGTTCTTTCGGTAAAGTCACGTAGAATGGAAATAAAATAATGAAAATAAAACATAATAATCTATTAAAGTCACGTAGAATTTCCATTCTACGTGACTTTACCGAAAGAACCAAGAAGAACTTTAAGTTTTAGTTGTAATGTGCATGAAACACATGGCAGGTTTGAAACCATATCATATGCTCTCGTATTAGCTGTTACAAAGCTACGTGCAAGTATATAATAAACCAAACAGATGCTACTAAATCATGACACTCATCTTGGAAGGAGCTTTCATTTTGTTGAGTTAGGAAAGCCTGGCTCAAGATTCTTCTTGAGGTGTTTTCTTGCCTTGGGATGTATGGCCGATTCCCGTTGCCACTGCGTTTCCATTTACGTGCGGGATAGAAACTGAGGCGACTGGGGAATGCCCCTTCATGTGATGGGACAACAGGTATAATGTACACAGGCAGCCATTTACCTACTTGCAGCACTGTCTCTACCAGGTACCTTATTTTCCTGCAAGTTGGAGTCTCGTGTCAGCTCCATCTCTATGATCCACAAACCAAAGACACAGCGATATATTTGTCCATCACCACACCTGCTCATTAATCGTTGCTGTGAGTAATAAACACAGGAGCAGTTGTATGGCATTTGTACTGCACAAAGTATTTTCAGATGTTGCAAGATTGTGTACGAGTTCCACATGGTAATATTTCCATTTTTTGATTGTGTAATATGCTAACACCACATTATGCCACTAAGGCTAAAATAGGAACATTCCTTAATCACAAAAATATAACCTTCGTTGGGAACCATTGCTGAGCCATCATGCCCAAGGTTATTTGATTATGAAGGACGCACAGAATATTTATTCCATAAAGTATGACCAGTCGCTTGCTCTGCCAGGTGCGAAATGTGATGTAAAACTTCCAACGTTCTGTCACCTTCTTTATGCTGCCGTCTTTGTCAAGTTAATATTTTAGGGAGCATAGGCCAGTACTTGTGTAAATCTATTTTCTGACAGAGCGATAATTTAACAATGAACTTTAACCCAGTGAGAGCACCTTTTATAGTAAATATTGTTTGAAGGAAACCCTTAATAATCATCATCATTATTCCAGGAATTTTGCTATTTAGCATGGTCCAGGTGTGCAACATTTTCAAGTCAAAATGTTTTTCGTTCATAGAGCAATACAGCTGCACTGTATTCCACTCTCCAATTGTAATTGTGTTGCTCATGTTCTTTATGCTGCTGCGGAGAGAAGTGCTGCAGCGCCACGACAGTGTCTATTTCTGTCATATGTAATTAGTTTGAGTGGGCATATTTTACTTTGCTAGAGTACAGACATTTTTTTATGAACCCCCCCACCATTACTTCATGTATTGCTGGCTGGTTGGGGTCGCTGCTACAGTGGGAGACCGTCTGGAAACGGTTTGGTGTGGCCGTGCGTGAAGTTCGCTTCTTGGCAGGACACAACTAACCTCAGAGCAACGGCACGGACAATTAATGGGCGCATACCGTGAACTGCGTTTTCTTAATTAGTGTGCACAAATATATGCACATTGCTAGTTCTTAATTACTTGCGATATTTTCTGTTAAGCACCAAAATAGTTTATTCAGGAAAGTGTTTGGAAATGTTATTAGTTGAAATTATGTTTTGTTTGCAGACTGAGTTATAAAAATATTTTAGTGTTTAGGAAAACACAGCAAGTCATTAGCAGCAGTGTGCGTGAGAAACATCTCTTCATACATTTGTCTTGTAAAGAGCTCACGCACAAATACGACTTACAAAACACACAGCAGTTTGTCTCCTTTGCACCTTTTGTGATTGTCTTACAACCAATCACTATAAATCTTCACTTCTTCAAGTGAAATTGTTTGCAATCAAAATTACCAGAAGATATTTTGTTTCATATTTGAAATATATGCCATTAGATATGAGGGATGCCCAATTGGTTTGGAATCAGATCTGATCATTTCTGAAATAAAAATCAGATGGGATCATACCCATAGTGCCAAGTTGCCCGATCAGCTTATTTATTGGACCTTGCCCAAGCAGTCAATAGGATGCACCTTCCCTCAGTCTTAACCGTAAAACGTTTACTGAAGTTAATGCCTTTGTATTTACGAAAAAATCATTTGTACGATAGTAAAACATTGAAATACATTGGCTGAGTGGGTCATTACAGAAACATGTTTTTTTCGGAGTTACAGCCAAATGTTATTAACATTGTTCTTGATTGTCTCTCCAATTCGCATCCCTTTTAATCCGAGTGTGTTTATCTTACTACGCATATAAAGTGAATGAACTCATCATGATCATTTCACTTGATTTATGCAATTACTTTTGTTTTATCTCATTAACAGTTGTTTTAACATTAACACTTGTAACATTAACACTTGTTTTATTACTATTTCCGATTCAAACTCCACTACCCATGACACACTGATTTTGTGCATGAATTGCGCCTGAACATTTAGCATATGTTCTAGCTTTATATTTACATATGTGGCAAGCAATGTATATGTGGAGGTGTAATAAAGTCACCGTTTACTCTTACATACGTTGTACAATTGTCTATTGGACGTGATCTTCAGCATCGTCTAGACATGCAGCAAGTCCAGCAAGAGTTGTGAGCCGTGGTTGTTTTTTACTAACGAGGACACTCGTTGTTTCTTATAGTTAAAGGCAGCCGAGTGCTTCACAGTACTCGCATTCTTTACTTGTCAGTTGAACCGTTCAAAAGAATCAAACCGCAGCAGCGCCGGTGCAGTTGGCTGCTCTGATATTTGCACCGCCTTCCCCACAGACATGGACGGTTTCACAGCTAATGGCCAACTTGTGCAGCGTGCTGCCTCACAAAAGCTACTGATGAATGATTTACGAATCAATACGCATTCTGTAGGGGGTTGGCATCCCTAATCTGTAAATGCATATCATGAACGACTTGAAAGTCATTTGAATTTTGGAAACAGCTTCCAGACATTGTGTGGCTATTTAGACAATTTAAACGAGAGGGATGCATTGTTAACGTTCACCGAGTGCATTGGCAAGCGTAAACTTTTGGTTAAACACAAGCTTCCTGCAACCGATATTATTCATAATTAATGTATGCATTAGGCCACGCAATGTATGTGATCGCGAGTGACCTGAACCAATGATAGAACATTGTTAAACGCTTGTACACCTCCTGACAATTTATTAGTTTTGCTGTGTCGGGTGTTGGAGGGTATTAACGACACAACATTTGTCAGATCATAACTTTGCTCAACCTAAAATGATTCATGAATTGTGGACTGTATTGTGCCTTTTTTTCTTTTTACAAAAGTACCAGCTAGTGCTGAAACTGAAGCTACCTGTTTATGTAGCCGCAGAGTCTCACGTCGCGATACTGGGTCTCACCATGGCACAAGTTACCGTATTTACTTTATAACAGGTACAATATATATGGACAATGTATGGCTAAAATACTGGAGTTAATAGCCACCGAATTTAAATAAAATTTCAAGGTTCGTAAAAAAAAATAATAACACGTATCTGTTCTTCCATGAAGTAAAATGTAATATGAAGTAACGACTCAATATATTTGTTTTATTTCACTCTGGCAATTATCATTAGCAACGTTATCTCCCAGTATAACCACATACTTTACATGTAGTACGAATGATCTTGTACAATTAATGCCATTTCTCATTGTGTGCTTGTTACAGTATTGATGTACTGTTAGTATTAGGATCGTTGCTGTACTTTGAAATGGAATACAGTTTTTGAAATTGACAAATTGAACGTCGACAATGTTGCAAAGGATAAGTGGCCCATCTTTTTTCTTTTGCTAGTCACGAAATAAGCTGCTGCCATAAATGATGGCGTGTGACCTTTAAGTGATGCTTTATCTGAGGCCTGCATGGCCCAGCACCTGACGGAGCGAATGTTGTCGTCAAATTGAACAAAGCCACACATTTCCGCGGCATTGCAGTTACAGCTATGAGACAGACGCTGGTTACGGTAGTTTGTTTCACGTGTTTTTACCCTTTATTTCACCAGGAGATGAGATTAATCCATTTTGGCACGTGAATCTTCGTCGCCTCTTATGCAAGGGCGAACTCGGTAACATCAAGAGCAATTGAGCAGCGCTGCATGTGCGTCACGTGACCAGCAACACCTTGCCGTGTGCACGCAGCCGACACCGTGTGCACGAATGCATGCAATTTAAATTCAGTAAACGTTTGCATCATTAAAAACAATCACGTACGGCAAGTTCACTGAACAATTGAAGGTATTTGTAGGAGGGACACAGCTGGGAAAACATGAGGGGGTCCTATGCCTCGGACAGTTATTGAAGATGGATCAGTACCAACATGATGAAATAAATTTCGATTTAAAGCTTTCGTGACTGCAAGGATTCATCTTCTTTGGTTCTTTCGGTAAAGTCACGTAGAATGAATGTCCTACCAGACAGTCTCGTCCCTTCACCTGATGAAGGCCGCTTGTGTTGTGGCCGAAACGTCGTGAGAATATTATTGTGTTATTTTATTATTTTATTCTCATTCTACGTGACTTTACCGAAAGAACCAAAGAAGATGATGAAATAAGTAGGTGAACGGGAGCAGGTGTTGGAGTGCTTTAAAAAATGAAATCTAATCACGAGAGGCAGAGTAGCGTTACGCCTAAAGAAAACGTTTTTATTGAGTGTCATATGTGTCAATAAACGTGGACAGCAGTGAACAAAAAGCTAAAAGTGTGCAAAGAAGCAGTGAGAGGTGCATGCTCGGAATTATGTCGAGGGACATGAGTCGTCGTTTAAGAACATAGAACGAATGGTGGCCAAGGGAGAAAAGGTGCCCAAGAGAATGTCCACTGTGGAGATAAGTGGCGAAATGGTCTCATGGACAGGTACTCTCTGTATCACTGAATCGTCAAAGACGAGATTGATTGCGTCTAGAAGACGCGCGGGTAGGTACACACCGTGAACACACTTGTAGTAATAACTAGATTCCACAATGTGGTTCATAGAAACATAGTTCATATTAAAAGTACAGATTATCGCCAAATATATATTTTAAATACATTACCCATGCAGTAGATTCTGAAATGAAATGCTCTCACACCATCTTCATTAGCATACACATTCACCGTAAACTCAAGTGCAACTGAAACAACCTTAATGGGAAGTGCCTTTGCTTAATTTAACGACACAATAAATGGGGAAAGAAAGGAAGCGACGTATGATAATAAGCATCGACGTCATGACGTCGTGGCTGCTGCGCTGTTAATTCCGGGGCCCTGTGAACCCTTGTGTGTCCACAATGCAACAAGCCTTTGCAGCGGTTGTGTTTTTTTCACGAGCGAATGTTAGCCTCGCTCCTAAAGGAGAAATGGAAAATTCTGTATTGCAAATTTTTTTTGCTGGAAAGTGCATGGTCATTAGGTGATTAGGGGACGGGGAGGGGAGGTTGATGAGGAAGATTCATCCCACCTGTAGGATGGGCTGCCCTCTTGTAAGTGGGTAAGGAACCTAATTTGTCCATTAGTCAGTTCGTGGAAGATGGCAGCAGCCTTCACGCGGCCCTCTCTGTCGAGTGAAAAATCACGACGAATGCAATCAACGCGGCGACCGAACATCGATCAACGATCTCCCCGTCTCCAGAGCATGAGCTACAACAACTTGAGTTATTTTTGTTGAAGGCTCATTCTAACTCCAATGAACCAGTGACCAATGGGATTGATGACAAACTATATATATATAACATGTGACCTTTGACCTCGGCTAAACAACCGACCGAAAATAATTACTATGTAAGACCACCACTAGAATATGGCATAAGGCTTTCCCGCTTGATATCATGTGACTCATGCAGCATAGTTTTATGGTTTGTGGTAATAAAGTGATGACCCAATACGCAGAATTGGTAATGGCCTGTGTGTGAACATACGGAACATATATCTCCCGCGACCAAATAGGGTAAGTCCTTGCTTAACGCGTGTTCACACAACACGTTTTTGCTATAACGTGGTTCTTCTATTTGGGAACACTTTTTTACACAATGCGGAACATGCGTTTTAATACAGAACATGCCCGTTATAACACGTAACACACCCGTTATAACGTGCTTTCTAAACAATCGACAACTACTTTCTTGAGCTGCGCGGTTGAGCGGTGTGATATAGCACGCGGAATGAAACGGTAACGCGGCGGCGTACCCTCAGTTCCATGTCCCGCCATCTTACTATGTGTGCGGACATCACATCTCGCCAAACTTTGTTGTTACATTACTTACGGGGAAATAGTTTTTGCTTAACTCGTTTATCACTTCACATGACACTTTTCAGGAACGCATTTAACGTGTTAAGGACTTAATGTACAGTGGTGTCTTCTGTGGGAGACTTCTAAAATGCCATAGGGCACATAGTGAAGAGGTCAATTAAGACTTGGGTAAATTGATATCACAGAAAGAGCTGCGTGAATCTAGAGAGGAGCATTTCAATTGGGAAACACAATGGAAAGAGGTGTGGAGGGAGGATGGTCATCAACAAGATGGCAAGATCGGATGACAGAAGATGTAAGAATGATATTCTTGTTTTTTTCGGTAAAGTCACGGAGATAGACAATTTTGTTTAAATTATTTTCGTGACTTTACCGAAATAACCAAGAATATGAATTCCTGCAGTCACGAAAGTTTTAAGTAAAATGTAAGAATGAATGCAATAGAAGCAGGAATAATGTAATAGAAGCAGGATCAAAGGGTTTGTAAGCTGCTCATAGACAATGCTGTGAGGTCTCAATAGGCATTGGCTAAATGGACAAGGTGTTAAATATTGCTGATTCTTTGGTTAGCAATTATTCTGAAACACAGTACCGTCTTCACTGAAAAATGATAGAAGCACGATAAATGGCCTGGAGGGTTATATATTTAACATCCCAACACGCCCACCCCCCAGTTTGAAAGGCACATCCAAAACTGAAATGTATTATCACGTTTCAGTAGATGGCAGGTATTTAGATCAGCATTGTTTGTCGCCAAATGCCAAGGGCTGTTCTGGATGTCTGCTGACCCTGTGATATTAGTGGTTTTGCAAGAAACAAATAATTATTATTGTACTCTAATCAATTAATTTAAAACAAATCTGAAACCATATAATGCAAACATGGAATGTGTAAACATGTACGGGATTGCATACATTGTATGTCAATAACTTTAATGACACAATTTAAATCTATTTCACATTTAATAAAAAGTCAACTATATTTTGTAATGTAATGCCGTCCGAGAGTGTCAGATTAGTCCGTTTAAAGCCTGTGGGCATGTGGGTAATAATCCAACACCTTGCGCATTACAAATGTTTGCAGTTGTAACATGTTTGCGCTATTGTCACCCACACTGGTATCACCCGAAGCCACGTTGCATATCTGTGGTCTAGGTGATGTTTCGCTTGTTAATGTATTTTGTATTTATGGCAGAACGCTGACTAGTATGACCGACACTTTTACTACAGTGACGCACAAAGTTTGCAGTGAACTGTGATTTTTAACAAAGCAAAGAGTGCCGTAACTTATGCCTCTTCTATAATATTACACTGAAAATATCAGCGGATACATTATGTTCAACGTTTGCTAAAATGTAGTTCATAATTTGTATTTATAGTAGGAAGTATAAAACAAAACACTTAATACTTAATATCCAGGTTCCTTTTACATTGGAGGAGTAAGCAAAGCATGTTATTTCATTCTTTAAGTTATCCTGAAAGAAAATATATCAAAACCCAAAAAGCAAAAACAGAGAGAACACTGTTTTTGTGACCACATATCAATGGCTGTGGTGAAGCCTCTGTCTGCCTATTGTTGATGTCGATGTAGAGCAACAGCTGTAATTTTAGATGAGGTGGTTGAGCCGGATGATTGTGTCAAGAGTAGTGGAGTGTATCGCTGCTGTGATGATGCCTCCTTTGTGTTTGTGAATTAGGCATTGAGGTTGTTATATGTTCCATCGTCTGTTCTGGGTTCCATGGTCTGTTCTGTGCTGCAGTATGGCTTGCTGTTTTACTGCTGTAGAGGCCATAGCAAGCTGCACCCAGGCACGGTCCCCAAACGTTCTAAGCATGTCCCATGTTAAATAATCAAATAAGATGAGCCTTGTCGTTAAGGTGCAGGGACTAGGTGGGTTTCTTTGTAGATTGTTGACCTATGGGAAGGGCTTCACGGGCACTCTCATCAGCTCAGATATGAACTCTTGAAGATAATATATCACACAAATGCAAAATCACATTGAAAATCCTCACATGGATTGGCAGAAAAAAAATGTTTGTTCAAGAAATATGCAAAGGGTAAATAGTTTAATATTCTTTTATGCATATTTCTCACTGGGATTTTTTTTTGCAATGCATTGTGAGGCATGTGCTTTTTACATTTTACATTCAGCATGGTAATTGCAAAACTATAATGCTTTTGATCCTCTGGTGAAATGGATAAAAGTAAAACTTCATAAGATAGCAATTGCCAGCAAGGTATAATTTTTCTGCAGTATAAACAAGCTGACAAAGTGTGTGCTTAATTCATCCGCAACTCGATAAGTGTATCAACTTATCAATAAGTAAATCAGCGAGTCAGACACATGGGCACTGCGAATTGACATTTTCAATTAAGGACCACATGTGTTATGGTTTCGTAATCCTTTAACCTTATAGATTCGTTGTTTCCACCATCAACAAACGTGTCTACATTTTTTCCTCAGAGATATTTCAGTTTTATCATCGCATAATTTTTTTACGCAAATATACTTCTTTCAACCAATGCACACAGATTCCTCCAAATGTCCACGTGTAGAAATTATCGGTGATTGTAAAGATTTTGTTTGGCTTTGACGACGCCTGCCCTGACAGCAGAAGGCACTCTGACCAATAGCTCATTACAAGGTCAATGCCTTTCTTTGCTCAGGCGAGCGTGAGGCAGAGCTCATGGGGTAGGGCCTGAGTAGCGTGGGGTCAGTTGATCCATAGGAAAGTCACCGGTGACTTTGATCAAAGCTGTAGTCTGTTTATTGACCCCAGGGAGGAACGTGCTGACTTAGCTCCCCTACTGGAGCTTGAACTTCCCATCTTGAATGAACTCGAATTAAGGGGACAAATGTGGGCCTGGACATTCGGTTAACTCTCCCGTGTCTGTGCACACTCGTCAAGGGTCAGAGACTCTCTGCCCACCTGACCACAACCGCTTTGGCAACTAAACTGATCACTTTGAGAAGGAATAAACACGCAAGACACATTCTTAATTTCACCCCTTTCTACGTAGGTGAGCAATAAATACGTTTTGTAGCCTCATTGGGTTATGTTTTGCATTTCCCCTTGTTTTGTTTTTCATCCGGGCCACCCCTCGGCTCACACCATTACCTCGGCTAATCGAGAGTTGACTGCATCACTAGAAGGGATGATGATTGACGGATAAGACTGGTGACAGAGCGGGAGCCAAAAGAGAGAATGTGCCTAAGAGAAAAAATGGATCAGCTCATGTGTAAGAGTCAAATGATTTGTGGCATCACAGAATGGTGAAGAGATGGCAACGCCGTGGGGAGGATTTTATCCAGCAGTGGATAGACCATGGTTGATGACGATGATCGTATAATGTCTGAACATATTAAGCAATGATGATTAATGTTATCATATAAAAATGTATTACCTACTTTGTTAAAGATATATGATTTAGACTATTATATTAAATACATATGCGTTTGTGTTTATATGTGCATTTCTGCTAACCCTATTAACATGAAAATCTGTGTCGTGGTGTTTAATGGGTGAACGATGTATGTACAGTATATAATGTGATGGTGGTTAGTGCACTGCGCTATGAACCTGGTGACCTGTATTTCATTGTCAGTCATGGCTAACGATATTTGACCCAGTCCTGAGCGTTCCATGTCACCAACCCGCAGTTACCAGCATGGTGAAGTGCCGTCAAACAACACCTGTGACTGACACGGCGCGCGAAGGCGTTCATCCAGCAGTGGATTGACAAAGGCTGTAAGTGAATACTATGTGGAAAATGGAAATATGCACAATAGTATATTCTTTTCAGTTCTTGCTTATGGCAATGTGCCGATGTCGAAATCTACTGGCTTCAGGGCTTCTGCAAAGAATTTGTGTAGTTTTGTTATTCCTCATTTGTTGAAGGAGTGCAAACTCAAGCGGGTTTACTATACAGTCCATACCTTTGGGCTGTTTGCCACAATGTTTCACTCCTGTCACGCAAATGGTGTACGACCGTGTCATGTACAAGATATCCTCTTATCCACAGTTCTTCGTATCTGCATGGGACATGGAATGGAGTATGTACCGCAGATCAAAAAGTCATCATCATCATCCGAGTTGTCACATGAGAGAGATGTGCATGCTGGTGCACTGCTGCAAATTAGGCATGTAACGATTCCCCCAGTCCCCTCCCCTCCCCACCTCCCATCACGATTTGGGGGTCACGATTTTGAGGTCACAATTCGATTTCAGAATCAATTTATTTTCACCGTGCATTGCTGACCGCATGGCACACGTTACATAGGACTCAGAAGAATCAAAGGTATCAGAGATTTGTACACGCGTGTCTGTATATGATGCATGTATTAGTAAAGGGCGAATCAATATCAAATGATTAATTGTTGATGCGTAGTTTCGCCCCTGCAGCCCAGGCACTGCGATGAGCTTCAGTTTTGTGACGAGGATAGTTGGCTTCGCCACAGACGGCGTGTCCTGCCTTGATGCCACCTTGGCAATGAGCGACGGCCGATCGGGCGACGCCGTGGACACCACGGGAGAGTATCTCTCGCCCGGTCGCCACCGTCGGTTGGGGACGAGTTGAGCGAGTCCACGCATCCGCGGTCGTTATTACCGCTGGACATTCGTGATGGGCATAAATAACGGTTCATAGAATTTGACTCGCACCTACATAGTGATATGAGGGCGATTCAATGGGACACAACAAAAGGACACAATTTGATTCAGACGTCGTGAAAAGTGGAATTTCATACAGCACCATATTAGGCCCACTGTACTCATCTGCAACCCTACACCCTCGCGCCACTGAGAATGAAAGGAGATCCAATGTGCAGACATATTTATGAAGTGTAATTAATTTCAGCATAGCTTTATTTTAATGCAAACACATTTGTGAGAAATGAAGTCCATTATTTTAATGTTTCCAGTATACTCGAAAGTAATGTATGCAAAACTACACCAAGTATAACTTCATGCTCTCAATGTGTAGTTTGGGAATACAGAGTCAAATGACTGCTTTTGAAATTGTTTCTCATCTTTAAGGTCTAATTTAGGGTAGCACAATGATGAAATGCAACATTTCAGCATAGCAGTAATAAACACAGAGGCTAACGTCATTCACTAATGTAATACTTAGTGTATTTCTAGCGAGCATGACCAAATACAAAATTGGAAAGTAGGACTTGATGGCATGCGTATTGTATTTTTCCCATTACGGTTCTAATTCTGTTGATTAAAGGTGATAATCTGTCGAGTAGTTAAGCTGATTCATGGAATATTAATTTACATAATTGTCTAATTATAGTCATTTTGAAATATAGGTGACTGGATGGTAGTTGGGGGTCCAGCAGTTATCGCATGAGAGGTTTTTTTTCGTTAGGTTTGGAGCGCCCATCTTGACTCCGGGTAATGTGTGGCAAGCCACTACCATAATTAAGCGTGCCGTCCTTGGGGACATTGTTAAATCTGCCACCTTGTCTGCTTCCAGGCAAACAAAACACACCCAGCAGTTCTTATACAATCGACCAATTCTTACGGGGCTGGACACTTTGACTATCGTATGTGAATACAATTTATTGTAAATAATGACTGCAGGTTGTCGCTTGTGTTGTATTTTCTCTTAACCCTCTCGCTTTTATTAGCCATCACTGTTCCACTAACTTGAATTGTGCTGCTTATCCAGCAGTGGGCATCGGTGGGATGTAGTGTATTCTTTAAAACTTGATATTCAAGCATTGCACACAGCTCACAGTTCTTACAAACTAGATGATCGTTGATGTATGATAATCTAATGATAAATAGGAATGCAGGAGCAGATTACAATGTATTATAGCACAATGTATTACATTTCCATTTGCAATTACAGAGAATCACCACGCAATCACAGTCATGCGTGGCGACTGCCATGTCTTTGTGTGTGTTGTGTTGGAGACTGCACACAGTCCTGTGCCCATCGCCTTGCCCACGCTGCCTCACTTACTCATCGCGTGGCCATTTTTAATGGGGGCTGCCAACGGAGTCGAGCAAGTGACACGAGCGCTAAAATTCTCTCCAAAGCACGCCCGCGGTTTTCACACGGAAGAGCTGAGAGCGGACGCACTGAACCATTTGGTTCTTGCTGTCGTTGTACAAACTCATCAGAGGCCTTCTCTATTCATCGTTGGCTGTGGTGGTTGTTTTACACTTGTACAATATGATCGTGCGCGTCGCTGAATGAAGCTTAGATTGGGAAGAGCCGTTTATAAACTGTGACCGCACTTTTAATTATTTGTTGTGATAACCGTCTGCCCTTTAGGACGAGGCTGTCGAAGTTGTTTGATCTGCGGACTCATTTTCATGCACGGCCCAAGTGGGATTTGATCCCAGGGACCATCGCATGGCTCACATGAGCAGACCACTGTGCCAGATGGGGTCTGGGAGTAGGAGTGGGTCCTGGGCTGCCACACTGGATGTGGATATTTGACTGTGGTTCAAGCCCCCCCCCCCCATCTCATGTGCACGTGCATGGGGCCTCCATCTAAGAAATTAATGAACACCCCTGATTTGAATGACACCGAGGGGTTTATTACATATAAAATGTCTTCTCATAATTGGTGCCGGGCCGCCGTGGCTATGCAAGCCTGAGGTCCAGGACTGGAGGCCAGGGTTTGTGGATCACGCAAATGTTGTGAAACGCCCTTCCCGTGGGTGTGGAGGAGAGGCCATTCTCTTGATCGTCAGGAGAAGGCAGTACAGCAACAATGTGGACTCCACCAGTTATATCTGTGTGGGACAGAGTGTTGGCCCCTCGTACGCGTTGGTTTTATCTGGATGCTACGGTTCGTCCCACATGGAAACACTCATTAATTGGCTGGTGACGTATTTAGAAATAGGGGACTGCAGAGCTTTGGTAATCGTTTGTGTCGGCCTACCACCTGGCTGTTCCCACCTGTTTTGTGGTTCCTCGCGCTTCTGAGTCGTTCTCTCTCTACGAGAGTGAATTAATACCTTGCAGTGGTGCATTATAAGTTGAAATTATTATTATCTGTGCAGAAGTAAGAGGACGGTGTCTTCATATTACCCAATGGGATAGCAAAACCTCCTCTTGTCTGTGAATTCTATTCGCAATAATGGGGATAAATATACCACATGGTTCAGAGCCGTGACTGCTATCTGCCATAATGGTGAATAATGGCATTGATTTCACAGAGGTACAGTGTAGTGTACTGTCATGAGTATAGTGTACAGCTGGGATATCTGATTATTTAAGTAATCGATTACTCTACCGAGTATCAGTTCCATTACTTGACTAATCTGATAACACACAAATATTCTTGGTTCTTTCGGTAAAGTCACGTAGAAGGGAAACAATAAAATAAAAAAATATAAAACAATAAAATTCTCACGACGTTTCGACTGCAACACAAGCAATCATCATCAGGTGTGAAAGCCACAGCAAGAACATTTGAAAAAAAGTGTTTTATATTTTTATTATTTTATTGTTTCCCTTCTACGTGACTTTACCGAAATAACCAAGAATATGAATCCCTGCAGTCACGAAAGCTTTAAATAAAAAAACACACATATAGTTGGAAAAAAATATCTCCTCTGTTTTCACGCTTGGCTGATGGACGGGAGGTGATGGAGGGGCCTTTTTGACATCATTGGCATCATCATCAGCTGTGTCACGCTTTATGTGATTTTGTCGGGGGTTTCCCATCTTCGGGAGGCAGGATGTCTTCGTGACAGCATGGTCCCTTCACCTGATGAAGGATGATGAAGGCCACTTGTGTTGTGGCCGAAACGTCGTGATTTTTGTTGTTCTTTTACCTACGTGACTTTACCGAATAGAACCAAAGAGGATGTGGAGGTGGCCAAGCATTTTTCGTCGATGGAATCGTACCAGTCGCTGCATAGCGTAACGTGACGAAGTGTGGTTTTGCTTGTTCTTAGGGTGGCATCAGTGGCATCTGTAGTTGGTGGCTCTGGATACGATGATATCTTCACAATAATTATCATTGAAGTTGCCCGGCAAGTTGCTCATTACAGCTTGATAATTACTCACAATTTTTTTTTTATAACCAAACGTATTTTTTTTGTTTTTTTACGTGTGTTACAAAATCAATACCTATGCAAGTATTTGAATGAAAATTAGACGGCTTTAAAAATTACAATAAAAAGGCCACAATGTAAATGCCAAAGACGCATAGGGGTTATAAAATAGCTCGCTATTCTGGTTATAACAGCTGCGATAGAGTGCTGACAAGGGTTAATAATCATTCACATCCCCATGGAAAACTCTAGCCTCCACCATCTCTATATATCGGCATTGGCTTAAGATTAGTAGATATCCTTTACCCAGCTTATTACAGACAACATTTCATACACATCACATCAACCAAACACCCATTTTGAAGTCAACACTGTCTAAAATATTAATTTCAGACGTATAATATTCCTTCTCTTCAACGTAGCCAGTGGAATATATTTAATCATGATTAATTGGTGGCATCAGCACGTGGGCAGCACACGTGGGTATTCTCACCAGTCACATATTTGAGGACCAGTAGAACGAGCAGGCGCAACATAAGCAGACACTTTGACAGTTTTTGACATCGGCAGGGCCATCTACACGAGCCTCAATCTCTCGGTGGCGAAGATGCGTGTGAAATAAATCACAACCGTGGGAAGAGGTCGCGAGCTTGGTGAATTTGTGGCTCGGTGGAAAGTTTCAGTTGCAGACATTTCCACCGCACATTTATCGCCCACTCCAGTCG